CAGCATTACCTTTTGAAATACAAATTTCTATTTCCTATAGAAAAAATATCAGTCAGTTTTTTTAAAACAAAATCAAAATTTCCATCTTTTAGAATTGGACTTGCAGAGTGTACTTTGCAACTACATTTTAATATTAATAGTGTGGAATGACAGCAGAAGTCAATAACTTATAAGTAATATTTTACTTTTACTAGACATAATTAATTGTGTTCATCAGACTGATACACTGTTTGAGAAACGCTACTATGAAGTGCTCTGACAAATTAATGAGACTGATGTTAACAATGTACCACAAATATTAAGGAAAATACTCACTGTTACATTTTTGCTAAATGAGATACATTGTCTATTGCTTGCTAGATTTTTAAACAGCAATATTTAAAAGGAATGCTGAAGAGATGTCTGCATTTAATACACTTAACAATCCTGACTTCAAATTATTTGTTTCCAATTGGAAAAGCATTATTCATCAATTTGTTTTCTCTTTGGTGTTAAACACTTTCAATAATTGTTAGAATTAAGCATACATAAGTGTATGTGTACATATTATATATAATGTATTATATGCTTAATTATATTGGCGTGTATCCTAATTAAGTATATAATAATTATATATGAATATGTTTATTATGTATAAACATTTTTGTCATATGGAAGTATGGTGATATTCATTCATCACCCCTTTCCAAAGGCTGTTTTATGTGAGCAATATACCAGAAGGTAGTGGTAGTTTTGTGTTTTCAATTCTTATGCATGGAGTGTTGAAAAAACCTTGTATGTACAAATATATTTGTTTAAAATGTTAATCAATCCTATAGATATTTTGGAAATGTTTCATGTTAATTTATATTTCTGATGTTATGCATAATAAGAGATACAAAGTGTCTCCTACTTTCTTTCAATAACATTTATTCTGAGAATATTCAGTTTACTGATAAGAAAAATATCCCATATTTCAAAAGAAATTTTATCCTACCCTTATATGTATTCCTTCCAAGCTTTCAAGAAAATTATAGCATGATATCATCTGTGATGTGGAAAGTGTGCCAACTCTTTTATACAAAACATTGATATGCATATTTTTCCTAATATTCAAATTTCTTCTTACCAACACTGCCCCACATGAGTGGAAGCCTCACTGAGTGAGTGATTGACAAAGCATGTGTGTGCATGCAAATAAGTGTTTGTGAGAAAGTGCACACACGGGGTGTAAGTACTATGCACGCATGGAATTACAGATACATTTCCTTATTGCACGTAATAAATTTGATGGCAGCTTTCATGTATTTAGAGGTGCAGTAAACCATATTTTAGAACTGCACCAGTCCTAAGACACTGAGTTAGGAAATTTGAGAACCATTAGAGTTTGTGTTAATGCACAGTCCTTTGATCACAAAGCGAGCAGTACTTTGCGAATGAAGGATATGCTCAAAATTCAATGTGTTTAGCATTTCAAACTAAATTCTGTTTAATTGAAAGCAAATTTGTTAATGTACTATTTATTTCATAAATGTACCCTCAAGTAGAAAATTATTATTTAGGGAGAGCAATTAAGAGAGGATAATTCTTGATTCTCCTTTTACACAGGAATACAATGAGGCAGAATTCAAGTTACTTTATTCTTGTGCATCACTGGGGTATGAGAAGGAAGGTCATATACTTAATTTATTGTTTTACACATGGTGCTATTATTATGCTTTGAACTACATAATAAGAACAACATAACAATAAAAAAATCATTATAATAAAACTTTGACAAAAGAAAAATACATTAAAATTTTCAATTTGTTATTATTGTATACTCAATCAGCAGTATTTTTCAAATTATTATTGAAATTATTGGATAAAAATAAATAAGGAATTGAGAAAATTGAGTAGTTTTTAAATGTTTCTATTGGTTGGCTAATTTGGGTTTAGTTTTTATTAAAATATCTTAAAATATTTGTAAAGAAGTTAAGAAATATAAAAATTTTACTCTTATAATTAAAAGAAGAAATAGATTTTAAAGTTTTAAATTTAGTGGGAAAGTCTGTCTCTGTATTACCATGCATTGACAATATTTATTTGACCCTGTCAGGAGTGCATTAACTAGATTTCAGTGGTTCACACAAGACTCAATATTTGTGAGAGCTGTTTATTTTTGACTATGAAATTACACTCAACAGTCTGCATATTCTGTTGAATGAAACTGAAAATTGTGTATAGGTTGTGTCTTGATTTACGAGAATTACTTGTTAAAATAGACTACCCAGAAAAAATACATGATCATCTCCGAATTGAAAACCTGTGAAATTATTTAAATATGAATTAATAACACGACAATGATTCCTAACATTATACTAAGTTCAACCATGAAACGGGGCCCCAAAAAATTTGTTTTAATTATAAGTAAGGATCATTTAAAGATGTACTTTTCTCAGAAAACAGTCTTTGCCCACAAACTTCAAACACTTGTACAAACATTCAATCATACTTTAAGAACAAAAAGTCTTAATATATGCTGGTATGTTATATTACAATGACTTGTATGGAGTTGCTCTCCGTGAAAATCATTCATCCTGAGAGAAAGTTGTGAGTTTCAATATTAATTACCTTACATTTGGCACAGCATTACATAGCATTAGGATTCTTATGTGATATTTATTTCACAACCAACTATGGGATCTTTATTCATACTAGTAGAAATTAAGACATTCAATTATCAGAATAATAGAAAACAATAGTATTCATTCCTAATTCTCTAGTGCTGTTGAACTTCTGATAATTCTAGTATAAGTACTCTGTTGCTGTTCCTTTTCTGAGTACATTAAATACCGCATTTTTAAAAGAAGTGCTATATGTATATTCTTTGAACAGACAGCATAATTATATTATTAGAAGTCAATATTATTAAGAGGTAATACATTTTGTTTAATAAACACCATCCATTAATTATATATGGAACAAGCAATGATCTCATTTTCACATGGAAATTGTATTTAACTTTGCTATTTTGTTTTACTATTACACTGACTATATTTTCAATGTGCCTGAGCCACATTGTCAGAGGTTCGAAATAAAATGTCATTACTTTTTTGGTATTACAATTAATTCAGGACAATTTCCTGGATTAATTGGATATTAATTTCAAGTTAAGATATATTCAAAATAACAAAATTTCTTATAATTTTAATGCGTGTTGTTGATTGAAGAATATTCTAAAAAAGGTTACATCTGTAATGTGTTAATTTTTGAAGGTTGATGTATTTCATTAATGTCACCCAAAATCTTGAACATAGGGACTGCTTTCATGTTAATATTTTTTTGCCTCTGAATTTATGTAGTTTGCTCGAATGAATGGTGGAGGTACAATATCCATTTCAGAAATGGTTATTTAAAAATGTATTACATAAATATGAAAATGTTTGGTTCCTATATTCAAAGCACATGCCAAACTTGGGAATGAATAAAGTATATTTTTTATAAACATAACATCACACAGATATGAACGTAACTTGTCATATAAAGCAATCTAGCTGTTACTTTGAATTCCTTTCTAAGCTGGTAGTGATTTTCTTTGTTCCTAAATAGTTTAGTCTCTTTTGCCACATTTTATTATTTAAACATTATAATACAGTTAAAATATCTAGGGATTAATCAATTTAGTTGAATTAAATTCAATAGTTCAATCAAATAGTAAACTTCAATTAGGCCTATCCTTACATTAATTTATTTTTTTCTGAAGTGCTTAAACAATATCCAATTATAAAATGTCAAAAAGAAAAAAAAAAATTCACTTTAATAATCTGCCAGTGAAATTTTGTTTGGAATCCTGGAATGAGTAACACATCTAAAAATATTGAAATGCATATACTACATAAATATACTTGTAACACAGTTTTATACGTGCACACAAACGAACTCGCATTCACACTCATGGACACACCCAAACAAACACACACACACACACACACACACACACACACACACACACACACACACACACACACACACAGTATCTCTCCAGAATGGTTACCCAGTTGCACCCTGGTACATACACAAAGAAATGTACATACATGTATAGTAAATGTTGAAAATGTTATTAATATTCTTATTTGTTATACATGTGCATGCATGCGTGTATTGCAAGTATGTACTTCAATGATAATGAATTTAAATGACATTTTTATCAATTTCCACTACATTCTTTCGCCTTTTCATATTTTAGTAAGCTTCCTTTGTTTCAAAAGATTATTTTGATAAAGAACACAATATGTTTCATTATACTGTCATTCATTAGTGTATTTGTAAGATATTAATCCCAGAAAAAAACATGTTTTTTAGTTACAATCTAATTATCATCTAGAATATCTACACCTAAGCTTAATAAACATGTACATGAGTTGCTATGAAGAAATTACAAACCAATCATGCTTAAGATGACCAATTTTAATTTAATTTAATACTTATTCTTTTGCTGAAGATAGTACGTCCTATGAAAATGAATATCATTGCTAACTAACAGTTGGCAAAGCATGATGCCAATTACAAATTGCTATTGTTCATAATGCTTAAATTTTACAAAATTCACTCAAGGCAACTACATTCTGCACGATCATTAAGAGAGGAAAATAAAAAAGATGTTGGAAAAGTTATATTGTTGGAAAGCATGATACAATGATTTAGTTAAATGCAGTAACATGTATATTTTTATATTTATGTGCATGTGCCACAGCTTCTAGGTACTACATTAGAGTTAAACATAAAAGTAATGACCATGTATCATTGATTTTCTTGTTTGATCATTCTAATATGACAATTTTGTTTTGAAAGTAAAAATGTAGATGATTTTCTAAAAATCTTAACTCTTAAACCAAATTTCGTATTAAATCTAACATATCAAGCTTTAAAATAAATATTTAAATGGATGTCATTAACTAAATTATGGTAATTTAATTTTGTTAAAAGAGCCATTTTCATTCCATACCAGTCTAATGGCAAATGATTTATCAATTTTTCAGGACATAGAGATGGTGGTGATAATCGTTCAAATGATTCAGGTGTTGGTAGACAAAATTTGTTGGCTATCAATCTGCGAATGCCCGAGTGTTGTTTGCCTTCTGCCAGCACCCATCATCGTTATGTGCAAGCAAGACGAGGCTCTGCACCTGTAGAGTCAAGTCTCGAGTTCTGCAGGTTGGATGCAAACAGCAATTCACGGAATGTGAATAATGGACATGTCCGAAATAACAAGAAAGTTTTGTGTAGACACAATTCTGGGGGTTCTTGAAGAGTATAACCCTTCTAAAAGAAAGATACATGGTGAAATTTTTATCATTAACCATTCTTCACCACAAAGAACTTTGAGATCATGAGAGTCTGAAATTAATTCTTAATATCACGTTCTCTACAAGTTTCATGTGGAGATGCTCAATATAGATTTAACTAGGAGTATCTACATCACATAATATGTCTCTTAGGATATCAAACACTGGACTATTATCTTATAAACAATCAAAAAAATTACCATGAGCAAAAAATAAGCCTTGAAATATTTTCAACACTGGAATACGTACAAATTTTTAATTGTTCACAAAATATAGAAAATAGTCATTTCAACATTTTTCCTTGCCGTAATGTCTTCATAGTTATCACTGTGGTAGTAAGTTTGTTTCTTATGGATTAAGGAGAGAAGACAAAATATAGCAAATGATTTCTGTTCTGTTTCTAGCAGTTAACATGTTGATAAAACTCATTGAAAAGACAAGATTACAAATTAGTCTGGTTTCTTCAAAAAAATATGTAGAAGAGAAAAACTAAGATCATGTAGTTTTAGCAGCACTAAAAACAAGTTGATAGGTATTTGGGATTTATTGTCAAAATCATTTTTGCCATTACCTGAATTTGTGTTTATTATTGAAGTTTGGGAAAACACTATTTCAGAAGAGACTGAACATACATATAAAGGAATGCAATTTCCTTGTTTAATATATTACAATACATGACACTTTGTATGTGTGCGTGTGTATGTGTGTGTGGGTGTATAATGTATAGTAATTACTATTGGGAAAAGTGTGTTTTCCCCATAAGACCAGAAAATGTAAAACTGTAAATAAGTATATGCATAGATTTCACTGACCTGAAAGTAAATGTGTACACTCGAAAAATACATACAAATACCAACCATAATTTTACATTGCGGTTATAAATAACTTCCCATTTTATTTCTGAACAGCCTGTTTGATAACAGGCACCACTTTTAAATTTCCAGTGACATTTGTTGTTTTGATTGTTCATAATGCATAATTGTCTCTAAATTAAACATTTTGTTTTGAGTCAAAATTCAATTATTAAGGCTGTGTAATAACTTGAATGAAAATTAAATCCTAGTATGCATTTCACAGAATTAAATATGAAATATTAGAGAAGAGAGACTTTTTCAAGGTAAGGGAAGTGGACTGCTCAAGTAAGCGAGCAAGTCATAATGGATATCTTTATTAATTTCTTATAAAACATTAATATTTTTTAAAATTGTTATAATTTCTTCTAGATGGGAATTAAAAATAAGTAAATGATTCATGTATGGTATTCAAAATGATTGTAAAGTGAGATAAAGCATTGTAACTATGAGAAAATTCATTACTTAAAAAACAAAAAACAAAACATGAGTAGGTTGATCAAAATCTATTTTGAACACAGATTCTATGATTTTTCATTTCTAATATTTGTTGGTAAGTATTGAAATAAATTTATGTTTTTTCACATAAATCATTTCTATCGAAAGCATCAGTGGTACAACTCTGAAGTTCTGTATTTAGAAGAATAGTTCAACCAACTTATATGTTCACCCAAAGGCGTCCAATGACTGTTCAAAATCAAAAATGAAAAAATAAGGTTCATTGTTTTCCAGATATTTTTGTATTCCAATATATATCTATATTCCTAAAATGAATTTGCACTGCAATTTAAATAGAAAGAACGAGTTAATAGCTATGTAAATTCAAAACATACACTTTAACCTCCTTTCCAAATAATTCTACTACAGTTTTATTAATGTTGATGATTGGTATGCATATATGGTAAAACATGCTATAATATATGTTGTGTATTATTAACTTCAGTGTAAAGCAGATGTAATATGCTCAATTTCTTGAGTACCATTCTTCATGTGAAGTGTGTATGTGTGTGTATGTGGCAGGGGGGTCATATGAGTAATCCAAAAATAACATGTAATTGTGTATTTATTGTGTAAATGTAAATTTAAATGGTTGCTATGCCTCACTATATCACCTGCAATAATTGTATCAAATGTCAAGAAGCAGATACGTGAGAAGGAAGATATAAAATAAACTATTTTACCACTGGTATTACAAGTTTTCCTCAGTTCTGTGAGGAGTGCATCAGAGCAATTTAAAATATCATGTTTTGATGGACTAACTGTAAATTTTCTAAAGGTCAAATCTTTTGAATATTCTAACTGATGTCTTTGAACACTATTATTCAATTCAATAAGGTGCTTATTATCAATATCTAATGCTAATCATTGTATTCCTGAATCCTATCTCTGCAAATATGACAAAAACATTAACATCTATGAGTTTTTACCTTTCCATCCGAAAAGGACATAATTTGAACCTAAGTGGAAAAAATGTTAATACTATTTTCATTAAATAAACCAAGTCTACTATAACATTTCCAAAATTATGGTGATTGTAATTTGGTTGGAAGTAATTGGGACTTTATATTTTTATTAAATAGAAACAAATATTAAATTCACACATACATTCAAAGTGAAACACTTATGATTAATTCTGAACTGATTGTTTTCTTTCGAAGAGGGGGAAACACAAAACTTTCAGAATGGAAAGAACTAATATCTTTCATATACATGTTTTATAAACTATTCATGAATGTACATTTTAATTTCAATACTGCAAGTTTTTAACTCTGAGGAGTGAAATAATATTATCATAAAAAAACAAGATACTGAACAATTTTTTCAAATGTAATGTTTCAAATTGTAGAGCAATTAGTTGTCTTCTCAAAATAAGGTAAAGTTGAAGATAATAAATTTTGTGACTTTACATGAAATACTTGAGGTAAAGCACCAAAAACTACGTATTTTTAAGTCCTTTCCACATCACGTGACACATCCTGAGTGGCAGTTTTTCTATGTACTGGAATATCCTACCAAACAAATCCTGAGTAGTGTTGCTAAATAATCACAATTGCAAACTGTGATGACAGAGTTAAATCAAAATGCAGAAATTTTAAATGAGCATAGGGAAACCATCTTTCCTGATTACTCAGTTATATATTGTTTATTTGTGGGATACATAAAATTATTTTTTTATGAAACAAATTAATTGAGATATGGTCAATTCTGATAGTAGAAGGTATATAATTGAACAATCAGAATAATACATCCTACCATTGGTCTTTGCATAATCCTCACTGAAAGGTAAGTAGACTATAATACTTTGCATGTGCCAACAAGACACATTTCCTGTAATCAATCAAGCCTATGTTGGCTAAGTTCAAATATGGCTAATTCATGAATTAGCCAGTTAATAATATCCAGAATAAGTGCATAAAAACCAAAATAGATACAGGTTTGGCAGTTTGAGGTGGGTAGGGTAGGTGAAGTATATTACAGTATCAGGAATAGTAGGAAACAAGAATTGTTGGAAGTTTCCAAGACTAATGAGGGACAAGATGTATTAAAGATTTGGGTTCTCTTGGATCAGTTACAAATTACTATTTATGTGTTACCACTTAATCTCACTGTACCTCTGATAGAGTACAGTGTACATTTCTAAGTTCGGTTGCTTCATGCCAAAATGAATAATCTTTTCAAAAGTGTGTTGTACATTCTGTTTCAGTGTACTTGGGGGCTTTGCATAAAGACACATCTTAAAACTAGACTTATTTGTGAATATCTTAGTAGACTCAATGAGTTTTCTAGCTTAAAAGCTTATCTACATACTGAAAACCAAATTGAAAGATTGCCTGAAACTTTTTCTCAAAATAATTGTTTTTGTTTATTGAGTTTTGGCATGGATCGACAAGTCTCCAGCCTTCGGCCTTTGTAATTTACATAAACATGTGAAGAGTCCTATTTACATAATTACATAAAACTGTGGAAGTCTGTGCAATGCATAACGCAATTCAAACGCATTTTTATACCGAACTATTGGTGCTACAACACAAGTTCTTGCATTATTTTAAACTTTTGCAATTTTTTAAAATTAAGACAGTTCAACAAAAATGAGACTCAGACCATTTTTTTGGATGCCCCTTGTTCTATCTTTGGAAAACACTTCAAGAAAAAACTTGGAGTGGTATTTGAGAACAATATTAGGGGCGCGAGCGAGCGCTCTCTCGTCACGTGCTTCGTGACGCAAACTGGTGCTGCGCAGAACGAGCAAACATCGGTGCGCTGGTACTGGAGTAATACCGATGGTGATTTTTTCCTAATGTTATAGTGATTATTCTATGGGAAATTGTTTTTTAAACTGTGAATTTTAAAGAGGAAAATCCAAGTAAGAAATAAAAGATCGTGAACCTGCATGAAGAAAATGTAATATAATGTGAAATGGTCGGGAATACGTAAAAACGTAACGAAAACGGCAAAAACAAATACGTAAAAACGAAAAAATAATACAGTCAATTAGATTATATTCTTGTTATATCTGCTTCTAGATATCAGATAACTAAATATGTAATTATATGAAGATCGCATCTCAAGTAAAGAAAAGCGTGCTGAAGAAATCCTTTTCTTGAGTAAAATTCATATTTCTGAAATTGTGTTATTCCGCACGGATCTCACACCTCAGTTTGATAAATTATTTCAAAATTCTCACTTTTACTTTCTCGTCTTACTACGTACGTTTGTAGTAAAAAAGGAAGTACTGCTATGCTCATGCAAATATCGGTGCATTTGCGACAGAAAAACTCATATTGTTGGGTCTTATTGCTGGATAAATCTTGCCCTTATATGCAGTAAATTATTTTCTCTGGCGTGTTATTAGAAACAATATTTTGAGTGATCATGATACCGAAACTAGTAGTGCTTCAACAGTACATAGTTTCTCGCATTATTTGTAATCTCTATTTCGATCAGACTTTCGTCCAGTTTTCCTGATCCTCGAGCAAATGCTGAGATGTCCCCTGTTTTGCTTCTGGGCATAAATGTAACTTCAAATTAACTTCTCCCCATAGCACGTCACACACAGTTTTTAACAGTTTTTGTGGTAAATAACTTTAGCAATTTTCGAAAATTCAACGAGTTCAATGGAATTAAGACCCGCGCCTTCTCTAAGCATCCCTACTCTATTTGTGAAAAACTGAAGAAAAAATGAGGCGGTTTTTGAGATATTTTTTTAGAAATTATATTAAATTCAAGCAAATATTATGCGAGAATTACTTGTATTTGAAAAAACGTCCATGACCTTATTTAAAGATTTATTTTTTCTTTCTCGCCTTTTATGAAGAGAAAGTATAGTTATAGTGCGCCGGAAAACAGCGAATTTTCGGCGAATTTTCTTATTGCCTGGCCCTTGTGACGAAAAAGTGTATAAATCTTGTTCCTATAGTAAATTGCTTCCTCTAATACGTTGCGTACTGCGTAGTCAGAATCCATGTTTTGTGGGTCCTTGTTCCCCTAAAATCAATTGATGACATACCATCTATCTGACCGTCTGTTGTCTGTCGACCTGTCTGTAGTCAACGATAGCGCTTAAACCGTTCAACCCAAATTGATATTATAACCAATATAAATAATATTGAGGTCCTCTGAGTTTGAAACGGATATTATGATTTTTGCGTGTACTTTATATGAAGCCTCAACAAATATTCAAAATTTTCTCAAAAATAGCTCAAATTTTTATGAATAATCTTTGCCGCTTTACACTATCTGATGTCAAAATTTAATTACAAATTTGGAACCATTTTTGAGAAAATTTTTAAAATGTTAAGACTTCCAATAATGAAAATCGCGCAAATGCTTGCACACGTTAAAGATCGCGCCCCTCCCCTTACATAATCAGGGGTATATGGTTGGCAAGACTGGTCTAACCATAGACGAACGCCTTCGTGAACACATTCACCATTACAAGTACAATAATACGAATAAATCGACCGTTGTCCTCCAAGCATGGAAAACTGGTCACGTCATTCTATTTGATAAGATCCGTCTCCTAGCCAGAAAAAATCGCTGGTGACCGAGGGGGGAAAAAGAGGCTGTGGAAATTCTCAAACATCCCCAAAACCTCAATGCAATTCAATTCCTGCGTCTCCACGACGCCTGGAAACATCTATTTTACCTTGACGCCAGGTAGCAGTCCCCGCTGCTCCATGACGTCCGATTACGGGCGGAGCACATCCTCCCATTCCGCCTGAGTAGCCCGCTCCCTGATTGGCCGATTCACTCTCTTCGCATTGGCCAATCAGCCGGCCACCCATCTGACGGGTGGAGGAAGACCTTTTTACATACTTACCCCGACCGCGGAAGTCTACGTTCTTACATCAGGGATGACCAACTTTCTACACCCCAAGGGCCACTTTTTTGGTTTCATTGGAGAGGGCAGCACAACTTTTTCCAAGAAATGCACAAATACCAATAAACCAAATATATACGAATTAGTAAAAGTTATGCAAACTACCATTACATACATTTTAATATCAAGTTCAATAATCAAAGGAAGGAAGAAAAAAACAAAATTTTTTAGTTTCTTTTTAATTATGGTGTTCGCATAAAAAACAAAGTTAATACTACTCGACCTATGCCTACAAGGAATATCAGAACAAAATATCATAATAAAAACACACAAACAACACTGCTACTACTTGCTTTCTTTGTCTAGCGTTAATGAAAATGTTTCTTAAATACTTATTGTTAGTGAGACACTGTGGGCGGGCACAAATATTCATCATCATATCAAAGTCAATTTGAATGGAAGTATTTGCTACGTTCAGCAGATCCTGAAGATCTGGTAGTCTATTGTCATGTGTTGATTTTATGAACTTCATTGTTGAAAAACGTGCTCTCACAAATGTAAATGCTTCATGCATTATAGTTATTTTTCAGCTGAAGTAACGTAAATAGAGATATTTTTGTTCTGTCATAAGTCTTCAAAATACCATGCCAGTTTCCAATCTTTACTGAAAATATAGGTCACGCTGCAAAGCACAGGGTTCTAAGTGAATGGTATCTTCCTGTTGTGAAATATCGCAAGTCATTAGATTGTTACAAAAGACGTGGCCACATGTCATTGAAATCCAAAAATCGTTCATTGAATGAGTCGAAAACCACATTTAAATCTGGAATAAAAAAGGTGAAATCACTGGCTAAGTTTTCATCCTTGATTTTTTTTTGCATATGGCAAAATTAATTAGATTGTGTTTTTGAAGGTGGATTTGAAAATTTTCAGTCGAGTTACAAATCCGTCTAAATGCCCAACAAACTCGGGTATTGTTTGATTTCGACCCTGTAGCTTCAAGTTCAGCTCATTCAAGTGCTGAGTTATGTCTGTCATTAGAGCTAAGTTACAAAAAAATGTCAATCAAGACGATTTTCTTTCATTTCCAATGAACTAGATGTTTTAACGTGTTCATTGAGACAGGCGCGGATCCACGTGGGGGTAAATTATCCCATCCACTAACGAATCCTCGGTCGACCAATCATCCACCAACAACAGACGACTTTGATACCAACCGCCAAAGGACGAATTGGAATCTTCCGAATTGACCTGACAACAATGCTCGACCCTACGGAACTGATTAAGGAAGTGGAAGCAAACTGCAACAACCATCTGACAGCTAAGTGCACCCGGACAGAATTGGTAATTCAACTAATGACTTGTGACTGCCCACGGTAAGATAAGAAACCTCCTGACCAGATTAGTGGAAACCCCAGACCAAAGGGACTATTTTCACTACAATTTCATACAACTTCAACCGAGCCAGGGACGAACAAAGAGACAAATTTGAAATTAAAGGACTCCCCGCCCAATACGGGTTGACTGCCATCAATGACAACATGACTGCCCTTAAAATTACAGCACACCACATCACTGAGATGCAACGACGAGACGCAGACGGGACATTA